AAAGCGCATCCGCCATCATAGCCTTCCCATTGGGCTTGGTCGCCTTCTTCTTCTGGGACCGCCTCACTTTTTTCTTTTTTCCTTGGGAGCCCGCAGGCCCAGCCTTCTCGCCTATGGGTCCCCCAGCCACATCTCCCACCACTACCTCGCGGTTGGGGGCAAGTGCGGCCAGCACCTCCTTGAATTGTTCGGTCGTGATCCCAACCCTCTGAATGAGGGCCTCAGCCTCCCCGGTGGTGATGGGGGGTGCCGACCTCCGGTGGCGCTGTTCTCCCCCTGCTGGGGAACTCCGGTACCTACGTTGGCGTTGCTACGTGTTTGCACCATCGTCGTTGTGGAGGATTTCTTCCGAGTATGATTCTCGAACTCTCAATGGAAGCACCAATTTGATGGACAATAAATCCACCAAGTGATCCGATTTACAGAGCGGATCGCAAGAACAAAATTAAGAACAAGAATTCGAGAATTGGATGTGTATTACTAGCTTGATTTTGCTTGAGTTCTCCCCTTTCGGGTCCCTTTTATTTATACACGAGCTCTCAACAATTAAGGTGAAGCGTAACCGATGGAGTTTAGCCCGTCCAAGGGCGCGATCCCCTTTTTCCGGCTCCGTAACGGCCAATCAGCTTCGTCTCCTTCTCCGGACTGACTCTGCCAGCTGCGCTTGGCCTGGGGTTAACTAGGCCCAGCCCCTTGGGCCGGCCCAGCTTGAATATTCCACAGGTGCTTGACCCGAAGTTGTTTAAATGGTTCATTTGGGCCGTCCTCTGGATATCGGCCCATCAAAAACAAACCTAAATTTTGGACTTGAAGGCAGTTCCCTTGAAAGCTTGACCTTGGTTTTCCTCTTCATTAAAAATGATGGTTTTCTCGTGGATCTTGCAACTTGCACTATGATCTACTCACACAAACATCAAAAGACATACATAGTATTCACTTTCACACTTTACTAGCCAACAAAGAGAAGGGGAACCGTGGGAGATGGACGCAAAAGAGTTACATGTTCTCCGGGAAGAATAAAACATTAGCATGGATTATATTATGAAAGAATAAGATCATGAATCACATACTCTAAATTGTAGCTGAATCTCCTTCCAATCAAATGATTTCCCCAATGAGGATGTCATGCCCGACACGAACCAGCTTATACATGGAAGCACCAGTCATTCCATCAGCAACAACAACTGGGCCTAACACTTGCACACAGAGGTTAATGCTAATAGGGAAACTAGAAAAAACATGTAGAGTTGTTACATGCTGATTAGAACATAGTGCAGTTACATTACAAGAAGACAAGGCTAAAATACATCAAATGAAACATGTAAGTATGATTAAAAGGTGATTATAAATTTATAGCATATTTTGAAGAAAGTAGTTCACTTCTGAGCTTCAAAAGCAACTACGCCAGTTCCAATATTACTCTAAAGTGGGAAAAACTAAGACACACGAAAAATGAAGTAAAGAATATCACAAATGGCTAGCATTCCCACTAAGCGCATATATAAAATTGTTAGCAATATGTATTATGAACTTCACACCATAGATTTACAGCTACTTTTTCTACTGTAAAGCAAGAATAAGGCTCTATTTGGTAGTTACTCATGGCGTGTTTGGGCTTATAAGCAACTTTTCACTTATATGACTGAAAATGAACGTTCAACCATGAAAGTAGGGTACTGAAATGAATGTTATCAAAAGTTTTTCTTTTCAGAAAAATCAGCTACTTTACCCAAACAACACTTGAGAAACAGGCCCTAAGAATTAATGTAAAAGTATAGTTTATAGAAAGAGAGTTAAATTTTGCAAATCTATGGAATAAATGCAGAGTAAGTCCAAGAACTTTACCTTCATTTGAAGGAAAATCAGCAGAACCCACACGAAAGATTCCACTAGAGACCAAAAAAAAGTTAAAGAAAGACATGAATGTTCATCTAAATCTAGATACTCAAAACCTAAATACATAAACTCAAATCTAAAAAATTACCTAAATCCAAAAAAAATTGAAATCGTTCCCTAAGTTGAAAATCAACACAAGGGAGAATACTATCAACGGTGACCACAGAAAGAGTTTCCCTCACCTAATTGAGACGACGACGATGGACCCGACGAAGGCTAGCAAGGGTTGGAGTCGAGGCGGCTGCAGAGAGACGGTGCTTGGGGATGCTGGGCTGAGAAAACTCTGGAAACACTGAAGAGGCGAGCCGACGGCGAGGGCATCTAGCGGGGGTGGCGGCGACATTCGAGGTGTGTGCGAGCAGCAAATCTTCTCTCTTTCCACTCGTTTTTTCTGGGTTATGGCCATATTGTTTTAATTTTAGATTTCTATACTAAAATCCATTATTGCTTATTATAGGTCCTTCATTTGGCTCGCATGATTTTGCTATGGAAATATAGTCTGTGGCAGATTTGCCACGGAAAAAAAAGTTTGCAGCAAATATTTCTTAATTTTCATAACACTTCAATTCCGTCGCTGATCTGTGGTAGATTTGCTACGGATATAACTCCGTGGTAGATTTCTGTTGCAATTCCCGTACTTTCTTGTAGTGCTACTTATCACATCATACTTTATCTCTAATAATCTATCCATCACATCTTACTTTTACCTATCATATCAGAGGCAAAATTGGAAGTCAACTACAATTTAATACTTCCTTATTTTTACACAAAGTCAAAAGAGGAACGCTTTTTCCAAACGGAGGAAGTATATGATTATATATAAATAAAAATATTAATGATTGAAACATTGTACTGAATACAGTGAAAAGTCACAATGAAAAATGAAATATAGAACGAAAGAAGTACTTGTTATTTATTGAACCGGAATAGCCACCCACTATTTCGGTTCTAATTTTTTTACTTAGTTTTAAATTTTTTATTCAATTGTATTTATAATTTCGCAAGAAAAATTTCATGTAATATTTTTTTAATCTAATATTCGGTATTAATTACATTTTTATTATTAAATACTCCGTCCACCCAAAAATAATTTTCTTGTTTCTTGTTTTGGAAAGCTTTCTATGATTTAACATCTCTTTCTCTCCTATTCATCATTTTGAATCATCCAATTGGCAAATTATATGGTACATCCAGATGTACCTTCCTTTAGATACAGCTTGATTGTAACGCCCCAAAACATATCCTAGAATTATTAATGAATTATTAATTAATTAATCAAATTTGTTTTGATTAAAAATAAATTGTTGTTGGGCCTTGGGCCAAAATAAAATATGTTTTGATATCCAATATCATGATCCGGATAAATCTCATAGAGATTAATCCAATATGTTGACTTACTGTGTGACCTTGATTGAGAACCTGAGTACAGACCCAAATCAAGGATAAATTAAGAAATTTATTTATGATATGAACTTTGAAATGATTTATTGAAATAAATCATGAGAATAAATAATATGAATGAAATGTAAGAACCTTTTTGAGTAAAGGTCAATTAAATCAATTTTGACTCTGTCAAAGTCAACCACCCAAAAATATGATATCGGAAAAAGTATTACAAATAAATATAAAAATTATATCGTTGGATAGATTTTAAATGTACGATCACAACGGTGCAAACGGATTTCAATTCGGAGAAAGTTGGACCAAAAAGTGTTCCCCGACTGGGACCAAATTAGTCCCAATCAGGGACTTGCGTTTGGAATTGTAGAGATAGGCCGTCCGCTCCACTGAGACGCCAAAACAGGAGAATGGAGTCATCACCATGTCTTCTTCCTCTTCCTTCTCCTATAAAAGACTACCACAACTCCCTCCATTCTTCACCATTTCTTACAAAGTTTCATTCTATTCTGTTGCTCGGAGTGAGGAGAACGTGGTGGTGCTGTCGTATTGGTGTGAGGTCGCCGGAGTTGAGAGCTATCGTCGCCGGAAGTTTCGCCAGAAAATCTTCAAAACCTTCATTTACCTTCGAGGTAAGCCCGTAGATATATCTAATGACTAGAATGTT